GACCACAGCAATAATTTTGCTAGATAAATATATTTTTCAAATCAAATATTATAGTGAAGCAATAATTAAAAAAAAACATTATTATCACTCATAATTTGGAAAATACAGAAAAACGATAACTAAAAAGTTAAATTAAAATTAAAATCCTTTGAAAAACATTCTGAAAGGATATAAGAATTTTCAAGAACAAATATACCGGTAAAAATAATAATAGTAATTTCAATTTTGTTTAATTTGATTAATAATAGTAATAGTAATAGAAAGGCTTATAAATATATATCTTATTGGATTAGACTTATATATGCTCACTTGATACCCTCAATATGTAATATATATATATATATATATATATATATATATATATATATATATATATATATATATATATATATATATATATATATATATATATATATATACATATATATATATATATATATATATATATATATATATATATATAACAATAATATATATATATATGAGGGTAAAATACCCTTAAGATACCCTTTACATATAAAATCATTTTTTTTCCTAATATAAAACTTTTCACTTCGACGAACAACCTGCTTGGTCACGAGATATTTGCAGCACCGGTAAAATTTGCACAAGTAATGACTGGTCCTTAACAGCACGAGTAATACATATGTTGAAGAAATCCTTGAAGCAGCAGGGCAGTCGAATCGAACATATGCTCTTGATCACTGCATACACAGACATAACCCGTTGTCAAATAGGTATAATATGTGTGTATGTGTCTGAGGCACCCTAGAACGTGGGTGGGTTCGATTCCACTTCCCTACTGCAAAGATTTTCAAGCAGGTATATATATATATATATATATATATATATATATATATATATATATATATATATATATATATATATATATATATATATATATATATATATATTATTTATTTATTACAAAACATACAAGACAAATGCCTAAAGGTTATGGATCTCTTGAAGCTTCTGGACAGGAACCGAGGACGCAGCAAGCATTTCCCCTCTGGATCGCCACACTGAGACGCTGAATAAAAAACATATAAATTTTAAAAAACAAATAAATATATATATATATATATATATTTATAATTATTTATTTATTTATATATAAAAAAAAAATATATATATATATATATATATATATATATATATATATATATATATATATATTTATTTATTTATATTTATTATTTATATTTAAAAATATATATATATATATATATATATATATATATATATATATATATATATATATATATATATATATATATATATATATATATATATATATATGTATACCACGTTGATGTAGTTTCAATGTGTAAATTACGTGTTTGGCAAGTCAGACCAGATCAGTGATTAGACTCACAAGTTTAAGAGTTCAGATTATACGAATACCAAATCCAATTTATCATAAGCTTTCTTCATGAATTGAAAAGTTGACATAAAAAGTACTGTACATTTAAAATACAAGAGTCGTAATAACAGTACAGTATGCGGACACTTGTCAATACCCAGAATCACAAACTTTACTCTTAATAACTTCTACAAATCATTACAATAATGGCTGGAGCCCCTGAAGGACTTAAACCGAGTTAACATTTCGTGTTTTAAGAATTCTTTTCGAATACATTTAACGGAACAATAAGTACACGCGAAAACTTACCACATGAGCAAATCAAATTGCAAAGCTATTTAAGGGTTAAAAGATTATCAACCAACAAAAATAACTATTAATAAATACACCCATTCAAAAACTAGCAAATTATTTGGAGTAACATTTATTTTTATAAAAGTTAAAAGAAAATTTAATATTTCAAGAAATTTTGCTTAATACATCGAAATGCAGGTAAAACCAGGTAAATTTTAGAGTTATACCAGGTAAATTTAAGTGTTATACCAGGTAAATTTAATAGTTATACCAGGTAAATTTAAGAGTTATACCAGGTAAACTTAAGAGCTATACCAGGTAAACTTAAGAGCTATACCAGGTAAACTTAAGAGCTATACCAGGTAAACTTAAGAGCTATACCAGGTAAACTTAAGAGCTATAACAGGTAAACTTAAGAGCTATACCAGGTAAACTTAAGAGCTATACCAGGTAAACTTAAGAGCTATACCAGGTAAACTTAAGAGCTATACCAGGTAAACTTAAGAGCTATACCAGGTAAACTTAAGAGCTATACCAGGTAAACTTAAGAGCTATACCAGGTAAACTTAAGAGTTGTGGTATTTTTCAACAAGAAAAAGTGCCTTTAATGATATTGAATATCTTTCACACTTATATATACGCTGTGATTTAATTCCCGGAATATTAAGCTTGGTCTCATAGGTAGGCTAAGTTTAACTTCCCAGTTAGGCCAAGTTTGACCACCTATATATGCTAAATTTGACCTCGCAAGTATGATAAGTTTAGGTATGCATGTAATCTAAAGTTTCATCTCGTAGATATACAAAGTTTAACCTCACTGGTATTCTAAGTTTGATCTCAGTGTTATGCTTAAGTTTAACCTCGGAGGTATTCTAAGTTCAAGCTCGCATGTATGCTAAGTTTGATCTGTTCTAACACGGTCATAGTTTCTGACTCTTAATCTGACAATTGTAATTTTTCAGAGACTTTTTCCAAGAGATTTTCACCAATTCATAATAACCCCAACTTACGCCTAACATAATTACAACGTTTGTTAATTACGTTGTTAAAACGTTGCATCAACGTAACAACTGTAGTTACGTTCTGTTTGTTGGGATTACATATGGCAAGAGAGAGAGAGAAGAGAACTATCAGGGACAAAGCGCCAAGCCATTACTACTATACAGCACTTGGAAGGGGGTCAGGATAAGGATTTGGGATGGGACGGAGGGGATGGAATGGTACCCAACCACTTGGACGGTCTCGGGGATTGAACGCCGACCTGGGTATGGACCGTCATGCCATTATAGGGAAGCGATATTTAGATATTTCGTAAGTAAGACTTGTGTCCAAGTCTTCCCTCAAGGTTGATTTATTGACCCTCAGAATACAACGATACAACAATTATTGTTGTATCGTTGTATCGATACGATACAATTATCGTTGAAGAGGTGTGCGGTCCGAATGGCTGCTTTCACGAATGGTCCGGTCCGGTCCGGTCCGCGCGTGGACCAACGGTACTTCATGAATTCTCTGGTCCGAGCTCTTGCGTATATCTCTCGTATTGCGTATTCTCATCTCTCTACCGCATTCTCATCTTCTCAGTAATTAATGTTATTTATCATAACTTTTTTAAATTTTTCCCAATGTTATTTTTTGTGTTGCTGCTCAACCTAACTTCTCGAGGCCGGTACGTCAACATTTCGGTGTTGTAACTTTCACTAATACGATACATTTTCAGCGGTTGGGTCGATTCTGTTAATGTGAAAAGTCTACACGTTTTTCCTGTTTGGAAAATTTTGCTTTGTTTGCTTCTTGTTTTTCTCGTACGCCATTAATTTTGTCTTCTGTTTTTTTTTTATCTAAATTTTGTTTGTGGGGGTTGTTTATTTGTTGATTGTGTTTGTTCTTAGTAATTTATTATTGTTTCTTATGTTTTGTTAAGGTTATATAGATGTTTAGGGTTTTTTGGGGTATTTTAATTTGTGGTTTAATTTAGTTGCTTAGGGCTTTTTCAATTTAATTTGTGGTTTAATTCAGCTGTTTAGGACTTTTTCTAATTTAATTTTTGGTTTAATTCAGCTGTTTAAGGCTTTTTTTTAATTTAATTTGTGGTTTAATTCAGCTGTTTAGGGTTTATTTGTGGTTTAATTTAGTTGCTTAGGGCTTTTTCATTTTAATTTTTGGTTTAATTCAGCTGTTTAAGGCTTTTTTTTAATTTAATTTGTGGTTTAATTCAGCTGTTTAGGGCTTTTTTATTTTAATTTGTGGTTTAATTCAGCTGTTTAGGATTTTTATAATTTAATTTGTGGTTTAATTCAGCAGTTTAGGACTTTTATTAATTTAATTTGTGGTTTAATTCAGCTGTTTAGGGTTTTTATAATTCTATTTGTGGTTTAATTTAGCTGTTTAGGGCTTTTTTTTAATTTAATTTGTGGTTTAATTCAGCTGTTTAGGGTTTTTATAATTTTATTTGTGGTTTAATTTAGCTGTTTAGGGTTTTTATCATTTTATTTTGTGGTTTAATTTGTTAAAGGCTTTTGTTTGGCCAGAAGCAGCGCCCCTAGCGGCAGGTGAGATAAAGAAACATCGCTTCCGATACGTTGAGAGAAGCAATACTTTCCGCGTCGACCAATCAACGGGCGTCTTAACCAATGACGCTGCATGCGCACTCAGCCAATTACAGCCCTTTTTTTTGTTCTTTGATAACGTCATGCGGGAGCGACCAATTAGAGCAGGTCTTGATAATGACGTAATGCGTATCGACCAATAGGAGCCGTGCATGCTACAATACTTCTACTCTCTGCCTGCTCTTGCCATATACAAATTATTTGGTTCTTTTCTACAACTATTGTTATAGCTAATATATATTGATTTTCCAAGCATACACTTGTGTATAGATGTGTAAAGTTAATCATCCATGGGGATGAGTTCAACTACGGCACACTTACTGACAAAAATAAAAAATAAATAGATCATTATTATCGGCAAATTGATTCGCCTCGTTCGACTACATATGGTTAAAAAGGATTTTTTTTTGGTGGGGGAAAAAAAACAAAAGATGTTAGGTTAATACATATTTCGCCCCTATATGTTATAAAAGTTTCCCCAATGAGGAAATATACCTATATATCTTATCTTATCATATAAGATATATATCTTATCATTCTAAATTCGAAATATATATCATTCTAAATATATATCTTATCATTCACCAGTTGTTGACCAGACTTTTACACCAGTCATTTACCAGTCATTCAGAAGTCCTTCACTAGTCATTCATGGGTGGTGAGTGTGCGAGTGAGGTTTGTAATGGGAAGAGTATGGGTGCATCGACCGGAATTCATCAGGTTTAGTATCTTTATTTTCCATGTAGCTTGTTGTATATTGAAGGAGGTGATCTGGGAGGCGGCTCTGATGTGTCTTTTGCTCCCTGGTGTGGTCTCTGGTCTCTGCTGTGGTCTCTGGTCTCTGCTGTGGTCTCTGGTCTCTGCTGTGGTCTCTGGTCTCTGCTGTGGTCTCTGTGTCTCTGCTGTGTCTTCTGGTCTCTGCTGTGTCTTCTGGTCTCTGCTGTGGTCTCTGGTCCCTGCTGTGGCCTCTGGTCCCTGCTGTGGCCTCTGCTCCCTGCTGTGTCCTCTGCTCCCTGCTGTGGCCTCTGCTCCCTGCTGTGTCCTCTGCTCCCTGCTGTGTCCTCTGCTCCCTGCTGTGGCCTCTGCTCCCTACTGTGTCCTCTGCTCCCTGCTGTGTCTTCTGCTCCCTGCTGTGGTCTCTGCTCCCTGCTGTGACCTCTGCTCCCTGCTGTGGCCTCTGCTCCCTGCTGTGTCCTCTGCTCCCTGCTGTGGCCTCTGCTCCCTGCTGTGTCCTCTGCTCCCTGCTGTGGTCTCTGCTCCCTGCTGTGACCTCTGCTCCCTGCTGTGGCCTCTGCTCCCTGCTGTGGCCTCTGCTCCCTGCTGTGTCCTCTGCTCCCTGTTGTGTCTACCGTCCCCTGCTGTGGCCTTCTAATGAAGACTCAGATAAGAGTTAACTGGTGCTTCATATAAGGTTTACACTTATATGAAGCACATATAACTTATATAAACAAGCTCTACTTATAACTTTCCAGTTTTCAAGGTGTAGAGATGATCCTCCCTAAGGTGCTGTGAGTTTCCTGACTGCCTTAGCTTGCTAAGATGACCCACGTGGCTTCTCGTAGTCGAACTAAGACGAAATGAGGAGTCGAACTTTGCTTCTAAAATGTCAGTTTCGTCACGACGCACTATAGGGTTTGCGTCATTTGCATGCCAATCCGATTTACAATTATGGTTATCTTGTTAGGATCATTGCCTGGGCTATCTCACTCACCAATCAAACCTGTCATTGTTATCGTCGGAAAAGGTGTTGTTGAATGGTTGTGGTTAATGACCCTCGTAGAAAATGGTATTTCTATTTCTTCTATATAGGGAGATTACAATATATCTGTGACTCTGTCAGATTGTCTTTTTGTCAGTCTGTTTGGGAGCAGCAGCAGCCCTAGTAGCAGCCCTAGTAGCAGCCCTAGTAGCAGCCCTAGTAACAGCCCTAGTAGCAGCCCTAGTAACAGCCCTAGTAGCAGCCCTAGTAACAGGCCTAGTAGCAGTCCTAGTAGCAGCCCTAGTAGCAGCCCTAGTAGCAGCCCTAGTAACAGCCATAGTAGCAGTCATAGCAGCAGCCATAGTAGCAGTCATAGTAGCAGCCCTAGTAGCAGCCTTAGTAGCAGCCATAGTAGCAGTCATAGTAGCAGCCATAGTAGCAGCCCTAGTAGCAGCCATAGTAGCAGCCCTAGTAGCAGAACTAGTAGCAGCCATAGTAGCAGCCCTAGTAGCAGCCATAGTAGCAGCCCTAGTAGCAGCCATAGTAGCAGTCATAGTAGCAGCCTTAGTAGCAGCCCTAGTAGCAGCCATAGTAGCAGCCCTAGTAGCAGCCATAATAGCAGCCCTAGTAGCAGCCATAGTAGCAGCCCTAGTAGCAGCCATAGTAGCAGCCCTAGTAGCAGCCATAGTAGCAGCCTTAGTAGCAGCCATAGTAGCAGCCTTAGTAGCAGCCATAGTAGCAGCCATAGTAGCAGCCCTAGTAGCAGCCCTAGTAGCAGCCCTAGTAGCAGCCCTAGTAGCAGCCCTAGTAGCAGCCCTATTAGCAGCCCTAGTAGCAACCCTAGTAGCAGCCATAGTAGCAGCCCTAGTAGCAGCCCTAGTAGCAGCAACAGTAACAGTCCTAGTAGCAGCCATAGTAGCAGCTCTAGTAGCAGCCCTAGTAGCAGCCCTGTTAGCAGCCCTAGTAGCAGTAATAGTAGCAGCCATAGTAGCAGCCCTAGTAGCAGTCCTAGTAGCAGCCCTAGTAGCAGAAATAGTAGCAGCTCTAGTAGCAGCCCTAGTAGTAGCCCTAGTAGCAGCCCTAGTAGCAGCCATAGTAGCAGCCCTAGTAGCAGCCCTAGTAGCAGCCCAAGTAGCAGCCATAGTAGCAGCCCTAGTAGCAGCCCTAGTAGCAGCCCTAGTAGCAGCTCTAGTAGCAGCCCTAGTAGCAGCTCTAGTAGCAGCCCTAGTAGCAGCCCTAGTAGCAGCCGTAGTAGCAGCCATAGTAGCAGCCATAGTAGCAGCCCTAGTAGCAGCCCTAGTAGCAGCCCTAGTAGCAGTCATAGTAGCACCCCTAGTAGCAGTCCTAGTAGCAGTCATAGTAGCAGCCCTAGTAGCAGTCCTAGTAGCAGCCCAAGTAGCAGTCCTAGTAGCAGCCCTAGTAGCAGCACTAGTAGCAGCCCTAGTAGCAGCCCTAGTAGCAGCCCTGAAGCAGCCCTAGTAGCAGCTCTGTAGCAGCCCTAGTAGCAGCTCTAGTAGCAGCCCTAGTAGCAGCCCTAGCAGCAGCCCTAGTAGCAGCCCTAGCAGCAGCCCTAGTAGCAGCCCTAGCAGCAGCCCTAGTAGCAGCCCTAGCAGCAGCCCTAGTAGCAGCCCTAGTAGCAGCCCTAGCAGCAGTCCTATCAGCAGCCCTAGTAGCAGCCCTAGCAGCAGCCCTAGTAGCAGCCTAGTTGCAGCAATAGTAGCAGCCCTAGTAGCAGCCCTAGTAGCAGCCCTAGTAGCAGCCCTAGTAGCAGCCCTAGTAGCAGCCCTAACAGCAGCCCTAGTAGCAGCCCTAGTAGCAGTCATAGTAGCAGCCCTAGTAGCAGCCCTAGTAGCAGCCATAGTAGCAGCCCTGTTAGCAGCCCTAGCAGCAGCCCTAGTAGCAGCCCTAGCAGCAGCCCTAGTAGCAGCCGTAGCAGCAGCCCTAGTAGCAGCCCTAGTAGCAGCCCTAGCAGCAGCCCTAGCAGCAGTCCTATCAGCAGCCCTAGTAGCAGCCCTAGCAGCAGCCCTAGTAGTAGCCTAGTTGCAGCAATAGTAGCAGACCTAGTAGCAGCCATAGTAACAGCCCTAGCTGCAGACCTAGTAGCAGCCATATTAGCAGCCCTAGTAGCAGCCCTAGTAGCAGCCATAGTAGCAGCCCTAACAGCAGCTCTAACAGCAGCCCTAGTAGCAGCCTAGTTGCAGCAATAGTAGCAGCCCTAGTAGCAGCCCTAGTAGCAGCCCTAGCAGCAGCCCTAGTAGCAACCCTAGTAGCAGCCCTAACAGCAGCCCTAGTAGCAGCCCTAGTAGCAGTCATAGTAGCAGCCCTAGTAGCAGCCCTAGTAGCAGCCATAGTAGCAGCTCTGTTAGCAGCCCTAGTAGCAGTCATAGTAGCAGCGCTAGTAGCAGTCCTTGTAGCAGCCATAGTAGCAGCCCTAACAGCAGCTCTAAAAACAGCCCTAGCAGCAGCCCTAGTAGCAACCCTAGTAGCAGCCCTGTTAGCAGCCCTAGTAGCAGTCATAGTAGCAGCCCTAGCAGCAGCCCTAGTAGCAGTCATAGTAGCAGCCCTAGTAGCAGCCCTTGTAGCAGCCATAGTAGCAGCCCTAACAGCAGCTCTAAAAACAGCCCTAGCAGCAGCCCTAGTAGCAACCCTAGTAGCAGCCCTGTTAGCAGCCCTAGTAGCAGTCATAGTAGCAGCCCTAGCAGCAGCCCTAGTAGCAGTCAAAGTAGCAGCCCTAGTAGCAGTCATAGTAGCAGCCCTAATAGCAGCCCTAGTAGCAGCCATAGTAGCAGGCCTAGTAGCAGCCCTAGTAGCAGCCCTAGCAGCAGCCCCTAGCAGCAGCCCTAGTAGCAGCCCTGTTAGCAGCCCAAGTAGCAGCCCTAGTAGCAGCCCCTAGCAGCAGCCCTAGTAGCAGCCCTGTTAGCAGCCCTAGTTGCAGTCCTAGTAGCAGCCCTAGTAGCAGCCCTAGTAGCAGCCCTAGTAGCAGCAACCCTAGCACCAGCCATAGCAGCAGCCCTAGTAGCAACCCTAGTAGCAGCCCTAGTAGCAGCCCTAGTAGCAGCCCTAGTAGCAGCGATAGTAGCAGCCCTAGTAGCAGCCCTAGTAGCAGCCCTAGCAGCAGCCCTAGCAGTAGCCCTAGTAGCAGCTTTATCAGCAGCCCTAGATGCAACCCTAGCAACAGCCCTAGTAGCAGCCCTAGCAGCAGCTAGGCAGTAGTCCAGGCTATTTGCATCTAGACCTGAGCAAAATTGCTTCAGAAGCTCTCTAAATGCTTGCTAGCTCAGGAACCATTGTTGAATAACATATCCAAAATCCCTCAAAATCGGACCAAAAATGGATTCAAGAATGGATCCATTCACTCCAAGAATGGATTTCAAAATGGTGGACTGGCTGTCTGCTACGACATACTCAAAAATTAATTCATACTTTGTAGAGTGAGAGAGGATGCTTTTTCCTGACAGGTAAAAAATGTTATAAATTCAATTATGTTCTCAGCAATATATACAACACGACTATTTGTTATGTAATTACGGTGTCATATAACTTTTTTTCGGGATTTTAATATCAACAAAACAGCAGTTGCAGGTAACTGGTTGTTTGGCAGCCACAACATCGTCGAGAAGTTCAGAAGCTGAAGTTCTGAAGGTTAGGAGGAGTTCCATCTTCATTGCGAAGGAAATCGACTTCGACAAGTAGATGACTTCGACGTCGACTTCGCCTAGCATCATATGACCCCGTATCGCTCTGGAAACAGCTTTTCAACCCATCATGGCATCCGAAGATTTCTCGAAGTACTTCAGGCAATCCTGAATCATACGTTAGAGAACCGATTGTTTCCAAAAGGCTCATCAGAGTGTGAATTGTTTCCCAGAATTGAAACAATGCCCCGCAGGTCTCTTTTAATCAGTGATGATTTGGGAGGCTTTCCAAAATCAATGGCTGATCAAAGATTATAATATATGGGACTTTTTGATCGCCTGCTATCTCGCTTCGATAATAGTATCGAAGCCCTAATAGCCATATGGTCAAGACCATATGGTCTTGAATGTGTAGATCATGTCACTTGGCACAATATATATGAATGAGTTTTGTGGATATTAGAAGGAGCTGCTACGTATAGGCTGATAGGCCTGCTGCAGTTCTTTGATTCTTATGTTCTTAAGTTCTTATATAATATCTCTGATGGGGGAAAAAATACGTGAGCGATTCCACACCAGGATGAGAGACCCCCTAGATCTGTAGGGAATTACTTACCAACCACTTGGGCTGGACGGTAGAGCGACGGTCTCGCTTCGTGCAGTTCGAAGCTCAATCCCCGACCATCCAAGTGTTTGGGCACCATTTCTTTCCCCCCGTCCCATCCCAGGGGTGATGGTTCATACCCATCATCACACCTGATGTCACAGCTTCTCGAGGGGGGAGTCGAGTGACTTGACATCACTTCTGATTATATATTTTTTGCAGCAGATTCTATCAGGTAAGTCTTTTCTAACTCAATGTCACATTATATCAACCTTTGATATAATGTGACAAGTTCGTCACATTATATCAAAGACGTCACATTATATAATAAGAAGATCACATTATATAATAAGTTCGAATAATTTCATCAGCTGTCAACTACAAAGTTACATCTGCCTTCCTCCCTTCATCAGATGTTATAATCTCTCTGCAATGTTCTACAAGCTGTTCTTCAGGTGCCTACGTTCGTAGACAGCTCTGATTTACTTGAATATATTTCTCCATTTTTCGGAAATCAGGTCTCCAACTAGCAGTTGTTCTTCATGAACAAATCCACAAGGGCCGTGACGAGGATTCGAACCTGCGTCCGGGAGCATCCGGGTTGTTCTTAATTATTCTTCCCTGTGTAAGTATATGTCTGAAGGAATGCTTGGAGTTACTCTTTATTACTTGAGCGACCTTTCTTCAAACTCTGCTCAGCTGAGGAGTATTGGTAAAGAATGTTTTTTTTTTTCACATAAAAATTCACGCTGCAGGTATGATGATAAACACAACATGAAGATAGTGCAGATAATACTCCCTTACCTTAAACGAATATTCATCACAGCGGCTTTCACAGCACATGTGTATAGTTCAGCAAAAAATTCCGAAGTTCTGTCTTCCACGTGCTGTGATTTTGGTTTCTGTTTGGAAGAAAAGTCAACAAAGGAATCACTAAACAAACAATGTATAGCCCCTACAAAATGCATCTTCACTTAAACGAGCAGTTTTCTCGGTATTGTCTTTGCCTGCCCTCTGTCGTATATGTACTTATTCGTAAGTCCTTTTTCTGACATAAAACGTAAATTATATTCCAGCGGCTGTAGCAACATGGCTTCCCCGGCTGAGAATGGCTTCGTCTACCCCCTTCTGCTCTTTTTGGTGAAATGTTAACTGCTGTCCAGTTTCTCCTTACAAATCGCACTCGGATCTTCAAAGGTCTTGCAGGCGACCCTGTCAGGCTGAAATGCGGAAAGAAAACACACAAAATATTAAACTGTGTTGTAAGGTCAAAACAAAAAGGAGTAAATAAGAAATGTCTGAAATCAAATTTCAAGTGTAAATACGCAGAATGAATTGTAATAATAATAATAATTTAAAATTCAACATTATCATTTTATATGTACATTTTTAAATGTCTGTTCTCGCATGCACTCCGGTGTATTGTGTATAAATTATGTAACGCCTTAGTTGACTACTTGTAAACATAATAATATTTGTAGAGGCATATAAGTTATTTTAGAAAACATAATTTGTTTTTTAAACCATTTTATCTTTCAAGAATAACATTATATCTCTCTTTTCAAATCGTAAAT